TTTTGGAGTGTCACAGTTTTTAATGAAAAACAATTGTAAAAGACTTCATCTTTTATAATTTTTAAGCTATCTGAAAATGTGACACTTTGGAGTAATTTAACATTACTAAAACACTTTTTGGTGACTCTTTCGATGACCAATGAAATATCAACTTCTTTGATATATTCTTTTATATAATCACAGTTATTAAGAACTTCAATTTGTGATGGAATAACAAATTTAGTAATATCACTACTGAATCCAAAATTATAGTTTTTAGTATTCGGTGTGTTCTTGATTGTTATATTTTTATCTTCGTTGTAAATAGTCTTAATTGCTGAAAAATCAATTTTTGTACCATACAAGTCATTGTCTTTTGATGTTAAATTTACATTGTGAAAAATATACCCAAACGCCTTCATTTGGAGATAAAACGAGTAACTGACATTAACAGTGTCAAAAAAGAACTTTTTGAATTACTCAATTGTTTCGTAGTTTTGGTTTAATTTGTTTGTAAGATGTGAATAGCAACAAAATGATATTTTTGTGAGTTGAATGCACTTATCAAAAATTGAATTTTTGATAATTTGGAGTGTTGTTGGTAGCACAATTTCACAGAGATTTGTGTATTTTGCAAAATAACAATTACATATTTTTGTGACAGCCGATGGTACTTCTATTTTTGTACTATCAAGAGGAAACTCAATGTTTTTATCAAGTTTTGTAATATTAGATGTAACACTACGAATATCATACTGTTTTTGTATTTCTTTATTTAAATCGAAAATTCGACCATCTTCGAATACAACCGACTTTAAATTAGTGCATCCAGACACAAATCTTTTTCCGATTTTTGTGACACTTTTTGGTATATAAAGTGACGTCAAACTTGTCGTATCAGAAAACGCTTTCTTTCCAATTTCATGTACACTTTGAGACAAAACAAACTTTTCAAGATTTGAACCCGAAAAGCAACACTTTTGTATTTTTGTTACAGTGGATGGTACAAAAATATTTTTAGCGTTGTAAACATTGAAATCGTTTTCTATTATTAAAAGTGCATTTTCCGGTATAAAGAGTTTTTCGATTGGATTTTCAAAATGGTTCAAGTCGGCGTTCACGTTAACAACAGTCGAAGGAATGTACATTTTTGGATGTTCATTTAAGCAATACAAGTTTTCATCTAAAACATCCAAATCACCAAGATGAATGTAATCAGAATAAACCGACATTGAACCCTGAAGTATATTGAAATTGTCAAATTTATAGACCTTTTCGTTAACATTTTCGGTTTTCATTATATTTGAAATTTCTATTCCAAGGCTTTCAAAAATCACCTTTTCACTTTCAGTTGCAACATACACACGTTTCATGTATTCAAATGGAACAACCAATTTAGTAAGAGAAGTGCATTCTTTGAAACACCCACCGTCTTGAAACACGACATTATTATTAAAAACAAGTTCTTTTAACTGTATACACATCTCAAATGCAAAGTTTCCTATAAATCGGACTTTTTGTGGAACTTCAAATTTACTTAGTTTCTCACACCCCGAAAATGCGTACTGATCTATAACCTCTAAATTTGAAGAAAGAATAATTTTTTCAAGGGAAGTACACTCTTTAAAGGCACATTTTGAAATGATCTCAACGACGTTGTCCATCACAACTTCATTTAAATGTGAACAACTACAACATGTTTCATAGGGAATGCATTTTTTTGCCATAAAACGTAATCTTTGTGAGTGTGTTTTGACTGAATACATGTTCGCTGATTAACACGTTTTTTTCAATTTTAAAATCTTTGAAAGCACATTCACTAAAGGTGTTAAAACCGATCTTTGTGATATTTGAATTCATTATAACAGAAGAAAGCGAACTACATTTACTAAAACACGAGTCCGGAATATACTCAAGCATTTCTGGCAGTTTAATTTCTTTCAAACTGCCGCAATCGTCAAATGCAAAATTACCAAGTTCCGTCAAATGTGGCGGAAGTATAATTTCTGTGATATTTAAACATCCAGAAAAAGCAAACCGAGAAATTTCTATAACTGAAAGTGGTAGTGTTATAGTTGTCATATTACTGTTTTCAAAACAATTATTGCCAATTTTCCTTATAAAGTCTGGAATTATGTCATTGAAATAGGTTCGATCGTCATTTGTATACACCGAAAGTAAACAAACATTGTTATTATTTTTTTCTATAACACACTCTTTAGCACATTTGGGATAATTGAAAATTGATTTATTGGTGTTTAGTTTTATATCGAGTGGAGTAAAGAATTGTTGAGTTTGTATGTACTTAAATAGATTCTTTGTTTTTGGAGTAATTTGAATTGGATTCATTCTAATACGGTCAAGTACATATTTATACTTCTTACACACCAAAACAATGTTAATAAAGTCGTCATATTCCTTACAGTATATCAAAATCATTTGCATAGAATACACATCAACCTGCTTTGACATGTGTTATTGATATATATTTTATATTTTTATATAGTAATGTTAAGATTCAATTAATAATGACGAATTTTGAGTAATATTTATTGTATTATATATATGTTAAATTTTTATTGATATTAGTTATTAACTCGCCAACAACCCAATACTGCTCTTTTTAACAGTTTTTCAAAAAATTGTCCCAAAACTGTTTAAATAATTTTGAAATATTATTAGGTGATTTTCCCGAAAAAATAAATAAAAACAAATATTATATAAATTTCATAATTGGATTATTTTTTATTTTTATACCAAAAAATCGTTTTGTGCATTTATTTTTTAAATAAAAATTTGAAAGCAAAACAGAACAAAAATTACAACCAAAATAATTAAGAGTTGGAAAAGTGGGCTTTAGCAAATTATAGTAAAATATAATATTTATTGTTGTAAATTCAAAAAACATTTTATATTATTTTAAAAACATTAATTAAAAACAAAAAAATAATTAAAAATACTTGTAAAACCAAACAATGGTTAATTTATTTTATATTCCCGTTAATAAAATTGATTTTTCGGATACATAAACGGTCAATTGCGACCACATAATGTTTGTTTTTAAAAAACGAAAATGATGATTTAGTAAGTATAAAAGAAAGCAAATACGAAAGTTATCAAACTAATCATTCGAATAATTATTTAATAAATACAACACAATTCAATAATAAAAATTTAAATGTAGCATTTAGAAATAATTAACTTCTAACAACAAATTTGGACTTTAAAATATATTAAAGAAGTCCACAAAACGCAGTGAATGTTTAAAAAAACACATATTCAATCCACTAATCAATTTCTATGTCAAAGTGTCAATGTGTAAAATCAACTAAGATTGATTATGGTAATAGCTATAGTTTTAATATGTACAATTTCTGTATTTAATTTCAAAAGTGTCTCAATATCTAAATTATTATTGTGTCCTGATTGAAAGTTTTATAATTTTTAATAATAATAAAAATACAAATAATAATTGATAAAAATGATTGTTCATAATAAAATATAGTTAATCTTATCGAGACAGACTATTTTCTGCCAACTCCGAGAAAAGTATTCATAAAATCTAAAAATGATGATAAAAAGCACACATAACAAACGTGAAAATTGATATTTTTTTGACAAAACAAATAAATAATAATAGTCTTAATAAAAAAATAAAATTGGTTATGTTCAGAGAATGACGCAAATTGATAACAGTGGTTGTTATTTCCATTGAATAACATGCTTCTGTGTCATAGTGAAAATGATAGAGTCGAAATAGTTGTAAAATATTATAACAATAAAACGAATCCATTATGCATCGCTTTTACAAACAGTGATGCATCTGTAATTGATTATCAAGCAACCCGAATATAAAGAATAATTATAATAAAGTATACCTTGTTATAGACAATAAAAAAGCTAAATTACGCATAACGTAAAACACAACAAAAATTAAAAATATATACCAAATAAATCAATAAAATAGCATTGATAGACAAAGAAGTTTGGTTTTTTGTTGTTTGTAAAATTAAAAATATAGTTATGGTTTACCTTATTCATTTTAAACACCACTTTCAATAGATTATTTAAAATGTGCTATTATATACATCAAAATATCAAGAGTCAACAACAAACATTTGGTTAAACAGTCCATATATTTGAAAAGAAGTTAGACAACAATATAAAAATATGTGGATTATTTGTAGTGGAGGGAAATTGTTATTAAATTAATAATAGATATGACATTATAATCCGTTTTTAATGATTGCTTGTTCGATTTTAAATTCTTTTGATAAAAACTCTTCAAGAGATTAGTCACTTTATTGTAAATACCAAAAGATAATAAAAATATTTTTTTAGAGAGACAAAAATTGTCAAAAAATCTTGCTACTTCGTACTATCTGAAAATACACAGTGAATATAATTGGTTTTTTGAAAAATTTTTATTTTTTATAAATACTATTATGTACAAAAATTTAATATGTTTACATTAATTATCATTGACGTGTTCATGTTACTTTTGCAATTTGTATTTCATTTCAACTCAAAACCAATAGTTTTTTTTGTTTAGTATATAAAAACATATTTATTTGTTTTGGAATAAATGTTATTACATTTTACCAATATTATTATTTTGCCATTTTTTACGTTTTTATCATAAAATTTTTATTTTTTTTTTCATTTTTTTGCAATTTATTTGTTTATTAGTTCACAATTTGAACTTGTTATTCCATTTTCATTTCACTATAATTGAACTACACTGTATAATATATTTGTTAGAAAAAAACAAAAACACTGCTCTTTTTAACAGTATTGTTTTGTTGGGGATTAGGTAAGTCGGCGAGTTAATGTGACTTTGAAGATTCAATAAAATACTTAAGTTAACAATAATTATTTAAAGTTATAAATACATATAAAATAATTTAAAACTAGTAATAAAAGTATCAAAATGCGTGTACAATAATTATTATTGTTATTTTATAAAAAAATAGTTAATCAATTAATTTTTAAATAAAAAATATTTATTAAAAAATATTTGGTAAACAACAAAAAAATAATATTTAAAAATGTTTTTATCTGAACAATTGTTTTTTAACATTTACAAAACAGTGTTTTTTATCATTTAACCGATTAAAATAAACGAGACGCAAAAAACGCGTTTAAAAAAATATAATTGAAATTTTGGTTATTGTTTTTGTTTAGATAAAATGTGTAAAATTATTTTTAGATTTTAAAAAAAATAACTAACAATTCTTTTGCAAACCCATTCTGCCGCACAAATCAACGAAAAATGTATTTGTAATACGGTTGTATTGCTACTCCGATGTTGTCACAGTTATTATAAAGATTTTTCTACTCATTACCAGTGTGTGGGAAAAAATGGTCGACTATATTTCAGACCTAAAGCTAAAATCGCATTAGAGTAGTTGTAAAAACCTAGTGTCTGATCTCTTGCTGTAGTGTGAAAACTGCTGTAAGATGCCTCTTCATACAATAGCAAATTTATATGTAAATTATTTTTAGAATTTTTTCTCATTTTTATATTTATAGAAAAAAAAACGCAATTTTTTGCGTCTCGTGCATTTTGCCAAAGAAAAAAAATACTATTGGCCGGTTAAACACACACTAATCATAAAATAAACATAAAACAATTACATAAATTATCTGTAATTATGTCAAGATGTAATTGTCAATGTCAAAAATAAATAGAATTACAATTATTTATGTTATGTTATTAAATTATTAATAATATAATTATTATTGTAATAATTAATAAAAGTGATTTTTAGTTTAACTACATCTATGAAAACATTTATAATTTAATAACTTATTTTTGACAATTACAAATAATATATATTATTATAGCATGACACTGAATTGGAATTTTTTAATGGATTAGTATAAAAGGGAACAATAAATAAAAATATCGGGCACCAAAAAATTGAAAAAAAAATAAAATTTTGAGAAATAAGAGATCAATTTTGCCAAAAAGACTCTTATCCAAATAATATCCATTCTTTTTCAAAGAAAAG